TTTTTTTTTTTTTTTTTTTTTTTTTTTTGAAAAACAGACAAGACAGTATCATTAGAAACTTTTACGGTGAAACAGAATGAAAGGAAGAATATAGGTTTTTAAAAATCTCGCAAAAAGAGCTTTTTTCAATGTTGTTATTCAATTCTTATTTTTTATCACATCGAATTATTGCACACATTATTATGACTGATCAAGTATGATTATTGATATTAATTAACATTGTTTACTTAAGTTTATCCTTTAATCAGCACGTTAAAATGTGTTTTAATATACAAACCGAACTCTTGAAATGCGAAACCTGATGTCAAAATTACAATAATCGTGTATCTCTAATTTTATTTTACATTACAATTGAGCATTAATTGGCAGAAATCCGCTACGTATGTTTAAATTATTTTATAATAATAAATATTATATAAAATAAATAAAATTTTATAATTTTCAATTTTCCGTTTTATAATGATATAATCATCTTATGCGTACAATTACCAGTACGAATCCTGATGCCGGAACAGTAACATAATCGAGTATTTCAGATTTCATGAAACATTACATTAGCAGAAACTGACTATACAATTGTATCTTCGAATTATTTATGTATTAATAATTATAATGATATAATCGCATTAAACGTACAATTACGAATCCTGATGTCGAAACGTTAACGTAATAGAGTATTTCGGATTTTATAAAACATAGCGTTACATTTATATTACATTGATGTGAAATTACTCTCTATGAAATTATGTCATCAGATCATTTTATAAATTTGGAACCTAACTTTATTTCTCATTTTTTGAACTTAATTGACAAATTAATCGACATAATGATAAAAGATTATCTACCTATAGTCAAAAGAGTAGTTAAATTTCACAAAATTCTTTTATCTCTATTCAATTAAAATTTACACGAAAATTTTACCCTCTCACATAAGATTCTCTCTAATTTCGTTTAATATCATAATTTCGTTTTATTTTCACTTGCTACAACCAGAATTGGGCAAATTTTATTTAAAAATATTTAAAATAAAATAACAAATAATTCTATCGTGGGCCTTATCGTGCAAACAGTTCTTTTGTTTAAGTTAATTCACTGAGATAAAATAATAAATATTTGAGAAATTATTGTAAGAACAAATATAAAACACAAAATGAAATAAAAGATCATTTCATTCAATAGCCAAATGATGAAATAATTTATATAGCACGATCAAATAAAATAAAATATTATTTAAAGAATCATGTTTCAAATATTTTATTCGAATAATGCCCAAGCCTGGTTATTATTACGTTCCAAAATTACAAATTCTTACGCGTCTTCGAACAGGTATTGCGTTAAATGCATAATTACAACGCAATATTCAAGAAATAAAAAATAAAAAAAAAATACTTAAAGAACTTATTTGCAACTCTGGCGATATATCGTGTCATTAAAAATATAAAAATATATAAAATATATAAAAATATACTCATCTTTACATCTATACCTAAAATAGTAGTGCTGCAAAATAATACAACATTTCGTAGGAACAAATATATCAGGTTCGTACATAAGCCGGAAACAATCTTCTGTGTCCACTGTTATTTGATAGTTAAAACCTTCAGAATAAATCGAAACAACTGTCGAGCAAGTGTATCCTACGTTAAGAAGCAACCGTGAAAGCCTCGTAAGAAACCAAGCCGTGGAACAGAAAATCGTACCGTAAACCACTTGTAACCTAGAGATACCACGAACCGAATCGATTTACGGCCCCCTTCGAATCGAGACGATACACACGACCCGAATAGTCATGGAGCACAGCGAACAAAAATGAATTTTATCGGTGATCAGATGGCGCACGGTTCGAATGAAACGACCGGTCGGTCGTTATCACTCGGGAACAGTCAACTGTATCGGGCGATAACCAACGAAAAAAGAAAGCGGCGACGC